AGGCTGCGCTGACTGAGGAGCGAAGGCAATGGGCGCAGCAGCGGAGAGGGGAGAGGCTGGAGCCCGCTTCCCCCCATGGCTCCCCGGGATGTGCCAGGCTTTCGCTGATGGCTCATTGGAGGTTCAGTGAGGCGAGTTTGTTGTCACAGATCGCAAAATGCAAAGGGAGGCAAACGAGCTGGGTTCATCAATGTCAGAATAAATACAGGGTGGCAGCTCCTTGGCTTAGTTGGGAACAAGCAGCCTCACAACCTTAATTTGGTTTGAATTTTTTTTTTGTTTTTAAAGTAATTAAACCATTTATTGCACAAGTATACGGCGGCGTGCAGCCTATAGAGTGGGTGGAGGGACTGCTTTGTGCAGATTGCCAGCACTTCCAACATCAGCCTTACACAGGTGCTGCATCATGCAGCCAGCGCTGACGCAATAGCGTTTGGATCAGGCAAGTCCACTGATGCAAATAGCGCATCGAGGGCTCTCTGCTATTTGTTGTCTGCAGGTAATGCAATCTCTTCTTTTAATTCAGATTTCAAGAAACATTTACCAGCTTTTTTGTTTTTAAAACTAAAATATGACTGTGACATTAAATTCCGTTTGCCAGATTCGCAGACAGTGAGGGCTCTTCTGTGACATGAGTAGAGATATAACAGAGAAGGAAGCTTCTAGAGTAAGAAGGGGGAGTCTTTTCCGTACCAACACCTGCAGACACTTTTCAGACATACCTTAGGTCCCTCAATAACACTCTGCATGGTCTTATATGATACCATGAAGAAAAACATAATATGGCCCCAGGCCATATGAAACTGAAGTTGCTTGCTGTGTGTGGAGGGTGGTCTCTTAACTTCCCCACCCTAGAAAGTTTGATATCAACAGTAATGTAATATCCTTGCAAGTATTCAAACCAAAAATAAATTAAGAAATTTACATTTGTCATTCAAAAGATGAAGAACAAAGAGGAAAATACAGAAGTTCAGTTTTTTCCCAAATATTGTTTTCAATTTTGCACATCTTGTCTTTGGTTTTGTTTCCAACTTTTTTTTGCCTTTTGAAAGGCAGTGTGATGTTGCTGAAAGAGAGATGTGAAAAGTTTTTTTACTCTCTGCCCAGAGATGTGATGTGCTAGGGACAATAGCTATAGTTTTAGTCTTGTGGTAATTGAAAGTGTAATTTCTTGCTGATGAGTATTCACAGACTTATTTCATTACACTTCTAGGAGGGATATTTAATTTTGTAACCCTACACTGAAATAGCCTATTGCCAACTTCACCTTCAGTAGTTTTGTCTTCACACAGAAATAAAGAGCACCATTTTACCATATGTTCAATGCATTATATACAGCATAGGACGGTAGGTCATCTCATCCCTTCTTCTGAGGGAAGAGTGGCGAACTTGAGGTTGGGCAGTAAACTCGGTGCTCTATGAACAAGGTGTTCATGATGAAGGCTTTACCCTCTCCACTGCTGTTAATGGGTAACAAGTCATAGGCTGGGATTTGGGGGAGGAAAGGGAGAAAATGGAGGGGGGAAACCCACAGAGGAGAGAGAAATAAAAATTAGCTGACCTGATTTTTAAAATTCTTAAATATCCAGAGATTCTTGTGGTGTTTCTGTCTGTCTCGTTAGCTTCACTGGCAAGGTGAATGCTTGCCTTTGCACCCCTGCTCCAGTGGCAGGCAGGTCGCACCCCGCGTTGTGCAGCTTTTTGGGGACGGGGCTGAAATCAGAACAGGGCTATCTGCTCAGGGCCGCGGCTTCTCTTCAGCAGGCGGACATCAGAGATGAGTAACTCTCCCAAGGCTGACTTTGTAGCATGCTTAGTTCCTTCCCCTTTGAAATCAGTGGAGTAACTCCTGGTGAACTGTAAAGCTGGCGGACTGTGTTGCACCAAAAATAGTTAATGCAACTCATTTGGGGCCACATTCAGCAAAGATTTAGTGGGAGTGCTGACAATAAAGCACACACTTACAACTTTCTGTGAGTTGGCATGGAATAACAGCCACAAAAAATAAAGAAACATAAATTGTTCCCTTGCATATGCGTGGCTGCCGTACTTCTGACCTTGGTTACAGCTGTTGAGCGGCTGTGGCTCCGGACCTCCTCACTGACTCAGCTTAGGCTGGGGAGCGGCGACGACAGTGTCCAGGACTTGCACAAAGTGGCTAGTGGTATCATTTGGGTCTGGTAGGCAGAGAAGTATCCATTTTTTAGAAAGTGTTTCGTGATTTTTTTGGGTGCCCGAATGCAGATGTGGTAGTGAAGTCTGATTTCCAGATGGCGAGAGCTCAGCACTTCAGAAAATCAAATTGCTTTGATATTTCTCCAGGTTGGCGTCTGAAAACCCAGAATCTCCAGGTGGCTTTTGAAAACAAGAGGGAAAGGCCAAGCTCACCTCCCTGGTAGCTCTTTGGGGACAGTAATTAATGGTACTGGTTTTGTTTCCATCCCCCCTTCCCACATGGGAAGACCTCAAGCCCCACTCTCCTGCCTCCTGAGTTAGTTCTGTTCTGCAAAAGGAAGAAAAACTTGCTTTGGGAATTGGCAGGGAATTTAGCGTGCTGTGGTGAAGTAAATCCCCAGAAAACTTGCTTGATGCAGCAGCCACCTCTGTCTTGGGGAGAGCTGCAAGAGATGTCCCCCCCCGACCTGGTACCCATGCCTCCATGGTGGCGTGCCCTCTCTTCCTAGTTGTGCTGGGCTTCGCGAGGGGTCTGTGGGCAGGGGGTGGGCAGGAAGGGGGTGCATAAGTATGGCAGACTGGTGTCTTGCTGGCAAGAGGTTTGGGTCCTGATGAATAGCCAGGCTGAGCATGTAGGTGAGGCACCGGCTGGATGGTTCCTACAGGGGACAGGTGCTCTGCCAAATCTCTGATTTCCCCTCTCCGGAATGGCTCTGGAGGAATTGATACCATTCAGGAGAGCTGAATTCCTCTGTGCCCTCAGTCCTACAATGTACAGGTGGGTTTAGGGTCAGCATTTTAGGGAATCGTAGCCTTCTCAGGATGGCTGCGCTTCCTCGCCCGCGCTCAGCGCTGCAGCCTGTGTTGCAGCCTCTGCAGCTCTCCCCTCAGCATCACAGCTGCTTCCACGCGATACATCGCCGGGCTTCACATAGGCAATGTCACTGCAGCGGCTCTCCTGCACAAAGGATGCGGCGAGATGTTATTTATTTAATATAAATGAACGCACATAGTGGACCTGTGTACGTGCAATAACTGTTTCGCTTATGCTCATGCATACACCGTATATCCACAACAGCAGGAACTGCACCCAAAAGTGGTGTAAACAAAATCCTGTGAATTTATACAAATATGTTGCAATCATATGTAAACACTGCAAATATTATATCCTCCTGTGGTGCTGATGGGGCATGATTTGAGAATTTTAAGCAGAGCAACTTTGCAGATGCTGGAAAGGCTTGGCCTCATTTCGAAACTGTAATAGAGGTTGGAATATATTTCATGTGACAACCATGTCCTCAAACCTGCTATTTGTTATTTCTTTTTAAAACACAAACAAACTGTTTTCTCATTTTGTTTACAGGACAGTGGAACAGGAGATAACAGCTGCATTGAAGAAATATTGCGGGTAGGAATCCTTAAATAAATATTTTCTTCCAGTGCCATTTCGTTTACTAAAAAGACAAGAGAATAACGAGAATATTGCAATTATCACTGTTAAAAATATTACTCTTTTAGACTGATGTCTTTCTAAGGAAAAAGTAAGCAAAATTATTTCCTCACGAAAAATAATTGAAAAAATCTGTGACAACAACCTTCTAGAGGCTCTGGATTTCACTGCTACTTTGTGCCAGTATGGCTGACCTTCATGGATGCAGGAGCAGATAATGGGATAAATTATAAACTGAAATGTACAATGATGTTTCAGGTTTACAAACCATGCAAAGTGCATGTTTCCATTAATCATGACTGTCAAAAATCTTAATTTTGAAGAGAGGTCTAGGAAGGTCATTTTCCACCTGGATTTAATTAGAATCCATTATGTAATGTCATTATGTCCATTATGTCCGTTATATAACGACAATGTGCAAAATCTGTAGTTATTTCCATATTTCATTATTATTCCTTTTATCTTAGTAATTTCTAGTTTATTTTCATGGCGCAAATTAATACACATCCAGACAGATCTTGGCTTGAATCACCTTTGGTATTGATTATTTTCTGAGGCAGACAAATTTATAAACAACGAAACATTTCCGTATATTTTAACTCATGGGGTTTTTTCAGTTCTTTTTCTAAACTGATAAATCAATAATCCAGAATGCTTATAAATCTGATAGAATAGTGAGTGAAACTCCAAACAAGGTAGATGGAATGGTAAAATCTCTCTATTGCTGTGTGTGCTTCCACCTCTTGGATGTCCACTACCCAAATATTTCAGATTGTTTATAAACTACGGGGCTATAAATATTTGGCTTAGAGATTAGTAGTGCATTAAGCCAGTTGTTTCTAAAGGTATTTCTCCATTCTCCCTGAATATGTTAAATACAGTTTTTAATTCTTAAACTGGAGAAAGAGTTTATCAAAGGGTGATGATGATGAATTGCTTCTGACTTCACTGGCAGAGCTTTTACTTAGCTAACGTTTACAAAGTAGGCTTTTGTAGGGCTGAACTGCCTATTCAACAACCCTTCGCCTCAGTCCCTGCTGTTTTGTTACAAATTAGTAGCAGATAGTATAATTCATGAGAGCTTTTTACATTTTTCACGATGCACTAAGTATATGATGTGATGTGAGGCTCATTCACCCCTTTTTTATGCAAAGCTTTTAAAATGAACTGAGAAGCTGGTTTTCCTCCTTAGGTTGTGCAATTTGGCTTATGCAATTAGCCAAAAAATGTAAAAGGGACATGGTTCCTTCCATGCTGAGGAACATAGATATGTAAGAGATCCCAGCTGAGAAGAAAAATGCACTGTATGACTAGGGATGGTAAGGTGCATCTCCAAACCAGTGAACGCAGCTGCTGCGCTCTCGTTTTTTCCCCTTGGGGGCATTCCTCAAGAAATATTTTCGCAAAGCTTCACGATGAAGCGTTCAGGACAGCCTTAGATGGGTAGGACCCTTTCGTTCCTGAGGATTTATTCACAAATTCTTTCACTTTGCTTAAAAGCAGAATAAAACAACCCACAGCTCAAAAGCCACACTTCACATCAGTATCTCGCTAAAGCTTAACGTGGCTAAAATAGGGAGCACACTGTTTTCATTCCCTAGGTCTTGTCCTCACATGAATACTCAGTCATCATGGGTAACCTCTCCAATCTGTCCATTCTCCAGGTCTGCAACCTGGGTATCACTTTATATTCTGAACTTCCCTTGTGTCTCTGTATTTACGACTACGCGTAAATCTTGCAGACTGCTACTCTATAGCATTTCTAGCTGAAGCTCTTTATTCACAAAGGTAGAAGTCTCAAGTCTCATTACATACCTTGATTGCTGCAACATCCTTTCCTTGGTTTTGACAAATGCAATGTTACCCACCTCCATTCACGCTGCTGCGCAGATAATTTTCCTAGCTTGACATCTTGCCTAAAGACATTTGTCTCTACATCTCACCACTGTCATCTCCTTCTCTATCGCATCAAATACAGCTATTTGTCTCTGATTTTACGGCCTCAAGTCTACCAATTTGTGCTAACATATTAGCTCCCACTTTAGCTTACCTGGTGATGCCAGCCTCTGTCACCCTGTTGCTAAGTTTTACATAAATTAATTTCTCCCATGCTTCCCAGCAGATCTGGGAACAGCCTTGAACACTTTGCCGATTAGCTCTATACCTACCTTCAGATCATCTCTTAAGAGCCTCCTTTTTCACAAGGACTATGGAGGAACAGTGGTGAGGTCAGGGCTCATGCTTGAACATTGTCGCACTTGTCCCTTGTAGTGCCTGGTCAGGCCAGATGTATCCATCTGCTCTCTTTTTTCCTGGAAAGTGAACTCTCTGTGTCAGGGAACTGCTGTATAGTACAAATGCAGTTCTTATGTACTCTCGCAATACAAATCCCTATCAGCAGTGGTTGCTGTTACTGATAATTAGCAGAAGCAGCCACAGGAGTAACGTGCCATTGCTTACTCACTTTGTAAATCACTGGCATCCAGACTGTTCCAGCTCTCTCCATGCCCTCTTTTTGTGCCAAACAGATCCATTTAGTTTTAACACAGATTTTTCTGGTTTTCTGAAACCAGAATGCCATTTCCATGGTTTTGTGGGAGGTGTTATTCGCATAGTAAAGCCAAAGTTTAGCTCCTTTTTTCGGACAGAAGATAACGCAGTTCCTGTATGGGTGCCCAGAGGCCGACAACGAAAAGCCACAGGAGCTGCAGTCCTTGTGTTCCCCTCAGAAAGGTGGCTCTTTGCTGGCATACTGAAATGAGTTTATTATAGGACGGGACACTCTACTGCACAGAGCATCAGCAAAAGAAAGAAGATGCTTAAAATGTATCTTTTTAAGGAACATTGCACCCTCTTTTAGCTGCCTCTTGCACAACACAAAGCGGAGAACATCCTCTCTTTCTAGACAGCGTGCTTCCCGCACACGTCAGGCTGGGCCTCTTCTGAGGGATCGCTACTTCCACGGCATCTCCATGTTTCCCCAGTCGAGACCAAGGGTGGTAGAAGGTGCACCCCAAGGCTGCTCCGTATGCCCCTCCTGTGCTTCCTTCCCCCAGCGCGTGAGAGGAGGCAAGTGCTGGTTTGCACACAGATCTTGTCACCCTCTGGTTTCAGGACTGGGACAGAACTAACATCTGGCCCTGGGCTGCAAACTCAATCGAGGCATAGCTTTAAATTCACCAAATCTTATTTTGTGCTAACCGTGACAAGAATTTGTAGTCTTTGTGCTGCCTGGCGCAACGCAGGGTGCCACAGCTTAAGCCTAGCCTTTTTTGATGTTGTTTTACCAAATGTATCAGGGCTCTGTAGACTTTGTAAATTGACGGATCATTCGGCACGGAACTGCAGCTTCCAAAGAAAGCCCCCAAGAACTGAGACACAGAACCGCTTCCAGCCCTGAACGAGGTTGATTAACAAGACAAGTAACCCTGTCGAGATTGGAGCTGTTGTAAGGACCCCTGCTGAGTTTATAATCACTGCAGGAATCCTGAACCTCATCTAACCCCATGCACTAATTTATAGCAACTTCTTCAAAGTGCAGTGACTTCTCCATCCAGCTGCAGGCACGCACATCGAGGATAGAGAAACGAGGAGAGCCTTCGACGTAAATAACTCCAGTAAGACCAAGTTACAGATGTAACATCAAATCAAGAGAGAAAAGCCTCATTACTTGATGGTAGCTATAAAAGGCAATTCCTTGTAAGCTTTCTCATTGTTGTTGGAGGACGTGGTAGAAAACTTTGAAGGCTACACAAATATCCTTTATTCCACCATGCCCTGAGCAGTTGCTACCTGAGTTCCTGAGACAGCGCCAAAGCCAACCTATTCACTTCCTCACTAAAACACAGGCTTGCTAAGCAAGATAAGTAATTTTAGCTGATTTCTGTTTGATTTTATTAGCGTGTGGAACTGTGTATTTTGTTGTGACTGGCGGGGTTTGGAGTAAATATTTATTTTGCTGTAGTACATGGGAAAAACGGGAGCAGTGAGAGTCCTGCCTCTCCACTAAGTTAACTGTTGCAAGCAATCTCAGATGAACTCTGAATATATTTGCTATGGATTTAAGGAGAAAGGGAGTGTGTCAGGTGCAGGCGGTTCTTGGTCTGTAAGATAAGTGGTTGGAGATTGATCTGGCTGTTCTTACAGTCTTAGCTGCAATTTCCTAGAGTTGCTGTGGCTTTGTTGAAAGGAAACCCACAGGCAAGCTGAGCTTTTAATTATTTAAGATGTTCCTGGTGAATTCCCTTCTATTTTTTTTTTTTTTTTTGTGTTGACATGAGAGGTGTTGTTGATGGGGGAGAGACAGAAGTAGTTGGTTTGGCCTGCAAACAGTGTTTGGCTGGAGGACATGGAAATGGCAGGAAGCTGATGGAGGAGAGCAACAGGAATGCAGAGGAAGGGCAAGAGAAAATCTCTGGGGTACCGGTAGATGAAAAACTGGACATGAGCTGGCAGTGTGTGCTTGCAGCCCAGAAAGCCAACCCTATCCTGGGCTGCACGAAAAGCAGGGTGGCCAGCAGGTCAAGGGAGGTGATTCTGCCCCTCTGCTCTACTCTGGTGAGACCTCACCTGGAGCCCTCCGTTCAGCTCTAGGGTCCCCAGCACAGGAAAGACGTGGACCTGTTGGAGCGGGTCCAGAGGAGGCCACAGAAATGATCCAAGGGCTGGAGCACCTCTCCTACGAGGACAGGCTGAGAGAGTTGAGGTTGTTCAGCCTGGAGAAGAGAAGGCTGCGGGGAGGCCTGATTGTGGCCTTTCAGTACTTAAAGGGGGCCTATAGGAAAGATGGGAACAAACTTTTTAGTAGAGACTGTAGTGACAGGACAAGGGCTTTAAACTAAAGGAGGGTAGATTCAGGCTAGATATAAGGCAAAAATTCTTTGCAATGAGGTGGTGAAACACTGGCAGGGGTTTCCCAGAGAGGTGGTGGAGGCCCCATCCCTGGCAACATTCAAGGC